GGGGGGTGTCAAAGCCAGGAGGCCTCAAGATGGAGCAGGCATCTACGCGCTTCAAAATAACCTCAGCCTTCCATCATTCAAGATGGGGTCATTCTGCACCTGCGTTGCCACTACTGACTAGCCAATGACTCCTTCAAGTCGAAAATAGCCAGGAAGGAAAACGTAGGAAACCCGGGGGGTTTTCTACTTTTTCCTTTCCTGTTATTCATGGCCGATGGCTGGGTCATTCTTTTTCTGCTTCGCCACTGCTGCCTACACATGGCTTGTGTTTACATCTCCCCTTGCACTAGTCAGCAGCGGCCATATGCATGTAAGCGTTCTCAAACAGAGCTGTGTGAATGGGCCTGCAGCATACAATACTGTTGTGTTCAGATCTGTATATAACTGTACACAGTACAGAACTGAACGCAGCATATTTTACGCTCGTATGGGATCCGAAGATCTCACTATCACCCAGATTCCAGTAACCACATTCACCTCCGTGGAGTTCTCACTGTGCTCCCAGACTGAGGTACTTTGCTGGGGAAAGCTGCCATTACCCCTCCAGCGTCTCCATACATGCCTATTAACTTCAATTAGTCTCACTGAACTTGCCCCAATGAGCCACGGCCTAGCCACAAATCCAGGTTCACTCGCCAAACACAATGACGTAAAATTTGTTCCCCAGGTTTTTTTTATAGTTTAAAGCCCAACACCAGCATGTTTTTATTTTCGTTTAGAGCGGGGAAGAGTTAGATCCCATCATTTCTTTTATTTTGTTTTAAACAGCACAAGAAAAATGACAGTTTCGGTCAGGTTTTTATTAAAGTGTGTGTCCCCATATAGGAGTTACTTTCTGTCAGTACAGGAAGTGATGAGAAATCTCTTCAATGACACTGTGATAAAACAACCCAAGCATGTTTTTAGTGGAGTAGGAAAGAGTTACAACTTTAGAACTTCTGTCGGGCTTCTATTGTAGTTGGTGCCATTCTGTCACAGTGAGGACAGCTCCCTTTATTTCTTGCACAGGGACAGGAAGTGAAATTTCCCAGGGGGGCATAGACAGGAATTTTATTTCTTATTATAAACAATATATATTTGGGTAACACTTTAAACACCACGGGGAAAGTGAAAACTGCAAAGCGTTTTTTTTAACCACGCCCCGTGTTCCGCGTCCAATCACCTCCTCTGTGCTGTCCAACCAACCTATAAAAAGAGACGACTAGCCAGAGGATGGCTGGTCAGCGACGCAGCGTCTGATTGGACACAGCACATGCCGATCACTTGTGAACGCAGCTTCCAGTAAGGAAGTGAAAAGGAACTTCAGCGATTATTGACATTTGTAATGCCCAATGAGATGTCCAGGTCCGGCTCTGACCAGCAATCCCTTGGCAGGGGTCCGTGTTGCTCGGTGACGCTACTCTAAACCCGCCTCTCCCTCCAGCAGCCCAATCATTGGTGGCCTGTAGGAAAAACCTTGCCGCCCTTCTGTCACTAGGAGCCCCGCCTCCTCTTCGGTTGCCGGTCTGTGATTGGACGGGTTGTGTGTTGGAAACGTCAGAGCGCCGCTGTTTCCCTCCGCTCTGCTCCGGGCGGCTGAAGCAGCATGGCGGCCGGGAGAGAGAGCCTGTCCCACCGCTGGATCCGTGGAGTGGGGCTGCTCTACCTGTGTATCCGGGGGCCGCGGCTCTATAGAGTCTACCGGCTCAATCATGGCCGAGGCCGGGCCCGGGTGGAGGGCGAGACCGAGCCTTCCTGGGTGAGAGGACGGGGCATTGTCCTGGGGGGTCAGTGGGTGCCATGTGTTGGCGGAGGGGCGGGAGACTGCGCACATGCACCAGTATTATTAATATGTGTATATATACTGTATATTCTACACATGCACCCATGCACCACTCTACAGGAAGTGAGGACTGAAGAGATTGCCAATAGCAACCAGCCACAGTTTTCCTTTTGTGGAAGTGCAAACAAGTGTTCTGATTGGTTGCTATAGGCAACAGCTCTAGTCTCATCCTCTCCTTGTGTTTATAGATCAGCCCCATGATGTATGTGAAACACTTCATATCCGTATACTGAAATAGGGACCCATGGTACAAGCAGAGGTGCTAGACCTTCTATTATGAGGACCATGCAGGGGGCAGATGCCACCCAAGGCAACCATTTTGCCCCCCTGCTAGGACACAAGTGGCTGAGCTGCACGGGGTGATTGGTTGTTATGGTGCAGGAGATAAACGCACACAGGGCAATTGTGCGCAGTGGTCAATCAGGAAGTTCATAAGCTACCCCCTCCGTACCTCATTAGTCACTAGGACGCTGTGCAGCTCGGTTGTCTGCGTCCTAGAAAGCAATGAAGCTGTGCTGCCTGTGCAGGGTGATCATTTGGTTTACATGTTGCCACGGCAACATAAGTGCCGTTAATCCTATGCATGCTTACCCAGCACGCTAGCAGGAATCATTTGGCTTATATGGTGTCTTTACTGTGGCAACGTGTCCACCAAATGAGTTTTGCTAGCGTGCGCATGCATAGGATTGGCACAGCCAGGTCAGGATATGCCCCTACCCAGCTGGCGGTACGAGGGAGATGAGCAACTCGGAAAGATAAGGTAAGCCTGCATGGAAACGTAAATATTAGGCATGCGCCGACATTTCAGCTGCCGAAATGTTTTGCCTAAAAATGGCACTATAAGCAGAATGCTGTTAGTACCAAAAAAAGGCCGAAAATGCGGTGCAACCCCAGCTTCTCTCCTCCCCGCTGGCCACCAGCTACAAGCTTCAGTCTTTGTCCCCTCCGATCACTGCTGCTCTCCCCTGCCTGTGTGGGCATAGGCAGCGGGGATTGGAGGGGACACAGCTGCCGGCACACAGCGGAGAGGAGAGAAGCTGTCAGGAAGCCAAGCGAGGATGAGAGCTTGGTTCCGCTGACAGGCGGAAGGAGATGGAGCAGTCAGGATGGAGAGCAGAGCACAAACACTGATCGGTATTGATCGCTCAGTGGTTTTTAAATAACTGAGGCCACAGTGATTACCATGTCCCCAGTTACAAATGAACAGGAAGCGCTTTATATCACTTCCTGTCCGTTTATGAATGGGGACATAGTAAATATCTATATAGATAGATCTATCTATCTATCCTCACTTTATGAGTGAACAGGAAGCAGTTCGGTACAGAGAGTTGACTTTATACACAAATCGGGGTCTAAGTCACACCTTTCAATGTCCCCCCTCCGACCAATAAGTTAAGGACCGTTCATTGTTGTGGTTTGTATACGCTTTAACAACCTGCACTTTCTGTTTCCATCAGGAATCATTCTATCAGCCCAAAGCACTGGAGAAGCATACAGATAGCATCTTGGCTTGGGTGAGTTGTGTTGTACACATAAAGGGACACTATAAGGGCTCATGCGTATGGCTGTAAAAAAATGTTTTATTATCAGTACAGTTTTTTTTTTTTTCTGAATGCCGGTGTTTTGCTTTCTATGAGTCAATGCACACAGTGCGTAAGGATCAGTAACCTTGCACTATGTCCAAATCGGTTAAATGAAAGCAGAAGAAAGCTAGAACTTCATAGTGTCCTTCGTTGCTAGGATGCAGGTGGCTCCGAGTTGCCTAGTGTCCTTCATTGCTAGAATGCAGGTGGCTCCGAGTTGCCTAGTGTCCTTCATTGCTAGGATGCAGATAGCTCTAGCCGCCTGGTGCCCATTGTTGCTAGGATGCAGGTGGCTCCGAGTTGCCTAGTGTCCTTCATTGCTAGGATGCAGATAGCTCTAGCCGCCTGGTGCCCATTGTTGCTAGGATGCAGGTGCCATGAGCCATCAAATGTCCTTCCTCTAGAAGCTAGTGTCCTTCGTTGCTAGGATGCAGGGGACTAGAGATGTCTAGTCTCCTTCTCTAGTCCCCTGTATCTGTAAGCCGGCAAGTATCTAGAAGTATGTGTGTGTAGATTGTCATAAGTAAACATTTCTAAAGGTGTGTTTTGTTGTTATTTTAAAGATATGAGTAAAGGTCCGCTATAGGCAATCTTCAGGCCTAAATAAGCCTTTAACAAGTGTTTAAAAAAAAAAAGGAAAAAGCTTTGGCAGTGAAAGGGTTAAACATATTTTGGGGGCATTTTTAACACTTTTTCTTCTCCCTCTCTGTTCCAGGTGTCCGTCCTTTGGACCATTTCCTACTACTCCTCCCCACTTGCTGCCTTTTACATGTACAGAAAAGGTAAGGCCAATCAGGGGTTGGATTTTATGTTCTCATCTCGGTGAGGAAATATTTAGAAGCATGTGAAGGGTAACACCCCCTTCTACTTTTATATGGTTTGACCAAAAACAAATCACACAGTGTGCGCAGCATTGATTGGAAACCGCATAGCTTGTTTGCTGACGATTTTCTGTTTGTTGTAGGACATATGACCGTCACCAGGCTGGTACTCCTAGGACAGTACGGCATGACGCTGCTTTTCCTGCTGGCGGGGGTGGCATGTCTGAGAGGTGAGTTGCTTTATAGAAGAACACTCTGTGTATGGTACAGTAAGGTATGGGACCTGGGCAGGCGGATTTCCTTCTTCCTTAGGTCAGCTGTGACAATCCCAAGCTTTGCTTTCTGAGCTACAGTTAGAATTTTCCATATGTAGCTGTGAGGAAGCCACAGGAAGGCAAGTACCAGAGCATTTCGGGCTCAGACCTTCTAGTGGTTTCTCCATTGCAATATATTTTGGAGGTTTGACCCGTGACAACAAAAGCTCAGTTGGAAAGGTCAGGTCTTTCTAGTAAAAGTCATGAGAAGTGTGGATCTCCCCTGGAGCTGGAAAGACCTACAGGGTTATTCACAGAAGGGTGAAGACAGTTTGGAGAAGACAGGAGAAGGGAACAATCTAGGACAACGTAGCTGAAGTGGAAAGTGAGCTGAATTGGAGAATTTTTCCTAATCAGCTATGTTGTCCTAGATTGTTCACTTCTCCGGCCTTCTCCAAACTCTTCACCCTTTTGTGAATAGCCCTGTCAGTTGTAGATAGAACCCTGCACCACCCCCAACTAAAGTTTGATTGAATGGTCTGTAAACCAATTATCCATTTTGTTCTGGCCTTTTGTCTTTCAGTTGTCTGTGTGAGGTTTGGGCGATTGTTATCCGTTAAAAAATATATATCCATCTCTCTTTTCTTTGCAGGTTTGGGCAGATGGACCAACCCTCAATATATTCAGTTCATAAGCATCTTACAGAGCAGCAGAATGGATAACTGTCCAGAAAACAAGGTGATTCCCTATTTTTACTGAAGGCAGTAGATGCAAATATGATTCTTTTATCTTACTGCAGTTTTACTGAAATCTAAATGGCTATCACACACTATGTGTGTGTATGTATGTGTATATAGTATAGATATATACTAGGGATGCACCGATACTAGTATCGATATCGGTGCCGATTCCGAGTATTTGGGCAAGTACTCGCCCAAATGCTCCGATGCCTAGCACGAGTACTTCTGGTATCAGGAAGCTGGGCAGCGCGTCATTACACGCTGCCCGGTTTCGCGATTGACCGGAAGCTGGCCTCGTGAGGTAAGGTTACCTTAGTATGTGTAGCCTGTCATCCCCCGGGGCCTCTCCAGCGAGAATGTGGCCTTCGTCCGGTACCCAGCCCGAGCCGTCCAATCAGGAAGCCGGGCACCGTCTAATGACGCGACGCACTGCTTTCTGATCGGCAATCGAAGCTGGCTTCATGCTCCCTAGTCATCTCATGACGAGAGCATGGAGCCGGCCTCCCGGCCAATCAGAAAGCAGGGCGTTGCGTCATTACACAGCGCCCGGCTTCCTGATTGGCCGGCTAGACTGGGTACCGGGCGAAGGCCCTGGGGGATGACAGGCTGCACATACTAAGGTAAGAGGGGACTTTTTTGTTAATCGGGAAGCCGGGTGGCGAGTCATTACACGCCACCTGGCTTCCTGAATGGGACTTCCGTTACTCAGTAATTGGTATCGGCGAGTAGCGAAAAAAAATTATCGGTAACAAAATACCGGTATCGGTGCATCCCTAATAAATATCACACACACACACACACACACACACACACACACACACACACACACACACACACACACACAGGAGCAGCCCCACTGCAAGGGAAAACCTTTAATTTCCCTGGAGTTGGCCACAACTGATAGGCTGCAGTCACTGTCTGGCTGAATATTTTCTCTGGGCTCCTTTAACAAAAGTGGAGTATGAAGTATTTGAGCGGTGTATGGCCAACCCGATACATCTGTGAGTAGGACTGCTTCTGTATGTGTGGTATATATACACCGCAAGTATTTACCCTAATGATTGACCATCACAAGACACAGAGGCGCTCTGATTGGAGCTGTATATTTTGCCTGTGGTCTACATTGTCTAATGACAGCTCCATCACAGGCATTGAATTGGCTTACTGGCGGCCTATGTGTGTTTTCTGCAACGCACTATAAACGGCACTTTAAAAATTTGAGTCCACCTACATGCTGTTTTTGTTCTTCTAATTTACAATGATGCAGTAGGAGGGTGGTTGAGCAGGCGGGCTGGTATGTATTTCAAACATGTCTTTTTATCCCAAGAGAAAAAAGCACAAAGTCATAGAGTATTCATTTTGTATTGTGGCCAATACATGTAAGAGCTTCCATTAAAAAGTCTCGGGTTTGTTTGCACTCTTTTTATATTATAGTAAGATGTTTTTCCCAGGTATGAATTTTGCTCTGAAGAGCACTTGCAACTGTGTGTATGTTCCAGGAGCTGATGTGACCCTAACCTGGCATTGTTCCTGTCTCATTCACAGAAGCTGCTCTCCAATTACAACTTTGACTTTCGCAGTTGGCCAGTGGATTTCCGATGGGATGAAACAAGCGGGTAGGATATTAGGAAGCCTTGTAGACGGAAGTATTTTTAGGAAGTAAGCTGTATAAGTATTATGGGAGACTGCTATTGGATAATTATAGTGACGGTTATCGGCATTTTGTGTTGATCCATATATATTCACATATTTTCATATTTATCTCAAACCTTTAGCGCTGTGACAACACTTTACATTTTGTGGATGAGCTATATACTGTGGGCAAAAGAAGATAATCCTGTAGAATCTGGTAGTGATTCTGAAAAAAGACAAGACATTTGTTTGGTTCCTTCAAGGGAAAACTATAGTCGAGGGTAAGCAACCTCGGCACTCTAGCTAGTGTGAACCTACAAGTCCTATGCGGCATTGCAAGACCTAAAACCACAGGCGTGACTCCCAGAGGCATGATGGGATTCCTAGAGTCCCAGGATTGGGTACCTCTGCTATAGTCTTCTATTTTTTACAATTCATTTTCATGTGTAAGAAAGGACTTTTGTCTTTTAATTCTGTTATCCTTCTCTGCCTGTCTGCAGCAAAGATGAGAAGACCGAAAAGTCCTCAGGTGGGGTATCATTGCTTAAACCAGAGCCGCGAACACGGGGAGCCACTGACAGAATGTTACAGCAGGTGCCGAAGCTCCCATGTCAGATAATCAGGTAATGTATTTGTCCTCTGCTGTGAATAGTGCACGCCTGCACATGTCCATATCTATCTATCAGAGACAGCAGAGATTTTTAGTTTACGTTAGAGCTTGGTTAAGCTGAATTGAGATTGAATGCTGCTGCTTTGTTTTGTAGCTATATCGTAGCTCACTCATTCGGCAGAAGGATGCTGTACCCCGGCTCTGTGTACCTCTTACAGAAGGCTCTCATGCCCATGTTATTGCAGGGTCAGGCTCGTCTGGTGGAAGAGGTGAGACTGCGTAATGCGTCTGTCCTTTTAGTTTCCTCTACGCCATAAGCTCTCTGATTGTATTACCAATGCTGCTCTACCAGTTCATCTAGGCCTATATTGTTCTGTGTCTCCAATCACAGAATCATGGGAAGCGAGCCAAGCTACTGGCATGTGACGGCAATGAAATAGACACCATATTTGTAGACCACAGAAGCTCCGGGGGCAGCAACGGGTCAAAGCTGGTAAGAGCAACATCCAGAGACAGTTTAACCATTTAATATGGTTCCCTGTGTCTTGACATTTAGTAAGTTCACCATGATGACCTCGTCTGTACTGTATTTGCTGACTTTTTAGTTATTGACAATTACCTTTCATATCCCTATTCCCATATTTCTTTACTCTACATGTGCCTTTGTCCATTTTTATTTTGGTTTTTTTACACCCTTTGTGTGCCAATTGTTAATCTGTCAATCAGCAAATGAGCTGCTTAGGTCTCCTTATTTGATTGCACAATCCAATATACCATAATTCATTTTATATAAACTTTAGGAGATGAGTGGTGAATTGTGGACTTCTCTTTTTTTTTAATTTTAACAGAGTTAAAGCTGAACGCATAGAAAGACATCCTTAGAGTTGTAAAGTTCCATCATATTCTCTCCTGTTATAACATCAGTTGTGTAGTAGGAATACATACTAGACCTGTTTTCTGATAATACAATCAAAGCTTACTTGAAAAAAATCCCTTTTATGTAGTGAGTGCCGCCTTCTGTCTGCCCATCACTTCCATCAACTTCCTGATTTCCCAGTGTGCTTTGCGTCTCTTTCCCTGCTGCTTGATGTGAGCCAATCTCCATTTCTCAAGCCTAAATATCCCATCATGCATTGTTTTCAGCAAGAAGTACTGATGTTACATTGTGGGAAGTTCAGACGTTGAGTTGTAATTTAAAAGGCAGGCTTTAGCGTGGTGACGCAAGGAAGTACATATTCATAGGGCTGAGTGAAATTGTGCCACTGCATTGAGGAAATACGTTACATACACAATAGATCCTATGGGCATCTTCCATAAGTACATTTACAAACTTCGAGGTTGATACAGTTATTAGGAGGGGCATAGCATTTATGTAAATCTAGAAATACATTATTGATGCTTGTAGTGTTAATGTGATGTAGTGGTATTGCCTGTTTGTGCCTTGTCTTTTTCCAGCTTGCCTTCGGTTCTCGTGATGACTGAGGGAGTGGAGGAGAGGAGGGTCTTTTAAGCAGATTAAGTGACGTGTTTCCTGTGTGTGGGGGAGGAGATTCCATCTCGTGATGCTGTCCTGGAAGACTAATGGAAATAGAGTTACCGGTAAGTCCTAACTCTGAATTTTTTTTAGGTTTTGACTACAGATACCCTTTACTGCCTTTTTTCTGTAAAAAAAATAATAATAATTACGCATGCCCTCTGGCACAGGTCACATGATGAAATGGCAAGGTTGTGTAATTGCAGTCTGATAGGGTTTAGCAAGGTGACAGGCAGAACCTCAATTCTGGCTCAGTCTGGTCCAATGTGAACACTACACCCCAGAGTAGGATGCACCCTGCGTGTACTAAAGACAATTTTAAGAATCTGAAAATTACTTGCAGACATTTCCATCTTCTGGCACTTCAGCTATTATATATTGATAGTATTTGCAGGCAACCCATGTGACTTTAAGCACATATTTTACCATCTGTTTTATACTGGGCCAGGACCGGGGATGATCTATTATGGCACTGTGAGGTTGGAAGCCTGTATTATGTTTGCCCTACTTATTGTATATCCTAATGTATTCTTGTTTCAGTGTAATTGGCTTTCCTAAAACCACATGTTTTCTTTATTAAACGCTATTTAACCCTTTGCTTTCTCCCAGGTTATTTGCTGTGAGGGAAATGCTGGTTTCTATGAGGTTGGCTGCGTCTCCACTCCCCTGGAAGGTTAGAGAACTCATTATAGCAGTGCAGACACATTCTGTTTGTTGTGTTTATGTTTTAAAGCTGGAAAGGTTTCCTAACTGGAAGTATAGTAGTTTCAGACCTGCTATGGACAAAATGAGCTGGTGAATTCGCATTCACCAGGTTCCTTTCTCTTGAAGTCCAACTGCAACCTCTCCAGGCACCTGTTCCGACGGCATTCTCCTGTGAGCTCAGGTTGGCTTGGTGATGCACCCCTGAGGGGGCAGCCTTGATGACAGAGCTCATAGGAAGTAGGCTGGATTCAACAATAGGAAAGTCGCTGGTTTGCACGCAGAGCAGTGATAGGTTGAGTATTAAAGAGGGAGCTGCTTGCTTGAATGGTGCAGTGCAACTCATTTTTAAATAAATGTTTCCTCAAGTGTAGTTTAAAGTAGAAGTGTACCCACATGTTTTTCATAGTTTGGGACAGCGAGGGCAGAACAGTCAGTGCCTCTTTCTGGCCTTAATTGTTGAACAGGAAATGTGTTTGTGCAGCGCTGGACCCCAGGGTAAGCAAATAGCAAAAGAAAGTCCAAATTTTAGAGGCAGTTTTTTGCCGACGGGTCCCTGGAGTAGCCCGAAGTGCATTAAAAAGGATGAGAGCACCACAAGACTTGATTGTGTCCAGCAATAATTTGTTTATCAGGGCAAGCAGTTAACAACCAACGGGTTGTGGAAGCTCAGCACTCCCGCTTCTTGAATGCTAATGGTAAATATGCAAACACGCTGGACAATGGCAGTTGTGATATAGCTCAGTCATTATTGTCGCCTGTTTCTATTTTGGGGAGATATTAACTCTCCCTGTTCCAGGTGGCACAAGTAACTGGGAAAATGCTTTGCCAATGAAGACTTCAGCTTGCATATGATGACTGTCATAACAAACAATAGTGATCTGCCCTAGTGATCGCATAATCAGGAAACACTGATTGGTTCCCATTAGTCAGTGGGCACCAGATCTGTCGGAGACATCCGAGATTGAGATCCACCAGCTGCGTAAAGTGTTGGTGGCTCTCAAAGGGAAGGCGTTTGTTAATGTAACCCCGGAACGAGGCTTCATGATGAGCAATGTCAATACAGAGACACGCAGGGAGTGGTAAATGACTCAAAATATGTGCAAAGGTATTTTGCTATATTTTCCCTTTTAAGTAAAAAGAGATACATTAGGAATTAACCTTTAAGGTGGAATGTATGCACTCTTTGTGGGTACTGATGGCATTTTCTTTTACTTTCAGCTGGTTATTCTGTCCTCGGTTGGAATCATCCTGGATTTGCAGGCAGTACAGTAAGTTTGTAATCTAGGCTTGGGGAGTGTTCTATATTTCTGATCCACACGCTGAGTTATCCTACTCCTACATACACTGTGTGGAAGGGTCAAACGCCTTAGATATTATTCTCACCACCACGTATTGGCCAATCAAGGAGCTTATTGTCATAACTATCCAAGACCTTGGATAGTGTTGTTTGGCAGTTGCTCACATGCTGGCCCAGGGCAGTCCCTATTATTTCGTTCCAGTGGGGGGGGGGTGTTTTTGGTGTTGGGTGACGGCAGAAGCCGGATTGCTCTTGTCGGCAGCTCTGACTGGCATCCTGTCCAGTTCACTGCCGTCACTGGTTGCAAGGAGCTTAGCGGGACGCAAGCCAGGGTGTCCCGCTCAACGCTAGGCAACCTCCCACACACTTAATTTAGGGTAATGGTGGGTTCATTGGTTTTCTCTAGATTAGCCCTAGACTAGAGTCTGTGGGACTGATTCACTAAAGAAGTTGCGACTCTTCACTCAATAAATTGAATGAATATTCACTTCCATTATCTTATCATGTGAAAAGGATTTTCTGTTCACTTTGAATACGCAATTACGTGCGGTTGAAATAAGTAGATGGGAATTCGTGTTTTTACATGATTGAAGTACATATTCACTAAATGTATTGAGTGAAGGTTCTCAACTTTAGGGCTCATGCTCGCAGGTGCCAGGGGGCTCATATTGTTAAAGGAGAACTATGAGGTGAGTGCTTTTCACTCACCTCATAGTTCTAGCCGACCTGTGACAATGAGACTGTCACAGGTCGGCTCAGTAGATCGGGAGGTGAGCGAACACATACCGGCGTTCGCTCACCTCTCGATCCTGTCACAGCTCTCTGCCGTGACAGGGGAGGGGCTGGATTCCCCGCTCTCCGATCCGCCAGCGTTGACTGGCGGATCGGACGTGGGAGGGGGCGGGTACAGCTGGCTCTGCCTCTAGATAGGCAGAGCCAGCTGTCACTCACGCAGCTGGGTGGATCCCGGCATAATGGTCAGGATCCGCTTCAACTGTGGGGGTCTCGGTATACGCTAGTTTGTGTCCTCCCGTTACCCTAAGGAGAACTATGGGGAAAAGCCTTAACCCCATTGTTCTCCTTTTTAATTTGGTCATATTTCCTCACCTAGGAGCCATGGGTGCAGCATATTGCCTTCCATAGAAATAAATGGCTGTATGCTGGTATAGGCCAGGCTTGTATAGATACCCTCATTCCTATTTTTTCACAGAAAATAAAAAGGTGAACTATCTCCCAAAACCCTCCTTACCAAACGGCCCCTCGTCCCTATTCGTGCTGCACTTATCAGTAATGTACGCCAGCTTGTATAACAATCCGGGAACATTGAAGTTTTATTATACAGCCCCGGACGCTTTATGATATCATAAAGGTTGCATTGAGAAGTGGTGATTGGTCAGCACAGGCACATGACCGCGCTGACCAATGAGAATTTCTAATTTCTTCTGGGCTGTTGTCATCATTACAGATAAGTGCAAGGGGGGGGGGGGGGGGTTGGGGGGGGAGGTTTTCACCTGGCTGACATTTTTTTTTTTGACCTCACTTGCTGACATTTGTGTTTTTGAAATGTGTCATTTGAGAAGTTTGAAATATTAAAGGGGGTCTTCTCGTTGTACAATAGTTTGTGTGTAACAAATTGTGTGTCTAATTGCTACAAAATCCATTTTGTTCTTAAAAGCTGCCCGTCTGTTTCTGGCCGGCAGCAGCTGCGACTTTCTAAAACTGCCAAAAATTCAAAGGCTGCTTCCTTGCCATATGGCCAACTCAGGGCGTTCTGGACACCGTTTTGTGTGCTGAAAGCTGAACTCCAGGCAAATGGCTAAATCCTGTACACAGATAAAATGCATATATTGGAGTTGTGTTATATACCAAGGGGTTTGTATTTCTGTCTATCCAGTCTTGGGAATTGCACAGCTGTACCACGCAGCACAACCCTGTCTGAGCAAAGTTTTCTCCACTAAAATTATACAGGTCTTTTCCCTCCCCCAGCCTGTTAATGGAAAGTGAAAGGAGCAAAAGGAGATTGATAAGCGCATCTCTCTGCTACTCTGCTCTCTCCTGCTGTCACCATGTTCCCTATTAGAACATGAGCACTGCAACACAACTGACTGGCTCCTTGTGCTGCTTCTCCCACTCCTAGTCTGAGCTACGCTGTATAGGGACTGCAAAAGTATGATACCGAGTCAAATTCAGACACTTGCACTGCTTGCAATTAAAAAAATACATTTAAAGGAGAAGTATGGGGTCAGTGTTTTTCCCCATAGTTCTCCCCAGGGTCATGGGAGGACACAAACTAGCGTCCTCCTGTGACCCAAAGCTCAGTAAACCGCTCGCGGTATACTGAGACCGCCGCAGCCTGTGAAGGATCCCAACATTACTGTGGAGCCGTGAGTGACAGTCACGGCTCTCTGCAGGGATAGATCGAGGAGCGAGCGACGGTATGTGTTCGCTCACTTCCCGATCTATTGAGCCGACCTGTGAGAGTTTCATTGTCACAGGTCGGCTAGAACTGTGAGGCTGAGTGATTTTCACTCTCCTCATAGTTCTCCTTTAATGATGTATAACTAAATACAGAGCTGCATTAAGTTGTATCTTTAAGTGCAGTGTTCAGGTCTTCCGAAATCCAACTTCTTGCTTGTCTCCCTACTTTTTCTAGAAAGCTACACAGAGCTGAAACATAAGACACAGGACCTGTGGATGTTGTTTACTTCTAGCTGCAATGCATTCTAAGATTTTTGTTCATGGGTACAAATATGCTTTCTATTACAAACATGAGGTTGCTCAGGTGGTGTTGATGAGTGCAGACCCCGCAGTGTAGCAGTCACTCTGACAAGGTACTTGGTAAGACAAACCTTGGTTTACTAAGGCCAGTGAATGGTGGGGATCTGCAATAAAGCTTGCGATAATTGTGCCATTGTATTTAGTTCAGCTGGAGGCTATTGCTTTTATCTCAGCTAAGTGCATTAACCAGAGGTCTTCTGTCTTCTGCAGGGTGTTCCTTTTCCTCAGAATGAAGCAAACGCAATGGACGTTGTGATCCAATATGCCTTGTATAAACTCGGCTTCAAAATGCAAGACATCATCGTGTACGCCTGGTCTATCGGCGGCTTCACAGGTGTGAGGGGGTGGGCTGTTACTAAAACCTAGGGGGCTGGGGCAACTACACTTTGCTTTCTACGTATGAGCAGCACAGAGGCTCCTTTCTACGTATGAGCAGCACAGAGGCTCCTTTCTACGTATGAGCAGCACAGAGGCTCCTTTCTACGTATGAGCAGCACAGAGGCTCCTT